ACCAGAGTCTGCGCCAGCTGAGAGTCGAGGGGTCGGATCCGTGATTCGGCTGATTGTGGCGGCAAGAGCTGGGAGTCCACCGGGCTCTCGGTGACCGACCGGTCAGGCTTGAGGATGATGACTTTCTGATCGGGGATGAAGTCTTCGGCGGAGTCAAAGAGGGTGAAGCCTTCGTCGTCGGCGGCGGTCTCGTCATCGGCGAAGAACTCAAAGGTCTTAGCCTTGAAAGCGAGGGCGAATTTTTGAAACATGTCGGAGATTTGAGGGGGCTTCTGGTGGGCAGGGTCCGTCGTCGCCGAAGAGGCGCCGCCACCACCGTCAGTCCCTTCCTTCATCACGAATCCAGCAGAATCTTCTTCTGTGACTGCAGTGAGGAAACGAATTGGAGGAATTGGGGAAGCAAAGCGGAAAGCGATACAAAAAGGTTGGATGGGGAAGGGGAAGGGTTCTTTGGCTGCCTTGGAAGGAAGGTATGTGTGGGTAACTGGGTCTGCCTGGCTTGCCGCACTTTTCTCGTGTTTTCATTAATTAAATAAAATAAAATAAAAAGGTTCTTTATTTTTAGGGCAGCGCAACTTGTTTGCCTTTGGCTCACTTCCTCTTTGTGAGCTGTCGTAGTAGGTTAACGGTAATAAGAAAAACGGCCAACCATTGAATTGACCGACAAAATGAAACAATCCTCTCATATAATCACTAGCTTTGATGGCGGCCAGTAGCATACCCAAGAATTTTAAGCAGGAGTGTCCGCTTTCAAAATAAAATAATATAATTCTTAAATAAGAAAAGTATCCGAATAATATTCAACAACACAAATATTTGGTTAATACAAGTTACAACAAATTTCCACGTCGTGTTTTCATATTCTGAAAATATTCTAAAATACACTCCGTGTCTACAGTATTCAGCAAATCTATTTCAATATATCCTACGAGACAATCATTCACAAACTGATCGCCTAGTCGATTCCGAAGCTTGTTCTTGATGTAACTCAAAGCTGAAAAGACTCTTTCAACACTTGCAGTTGCAACCGGTAAAGTCATATACAACTTTGAGAAGCAAATATACCCATGGATATGATAGATTCACTTTTGTCTTCACCATCAGCTGACACAATTCATCAATTCCTTTTAATCCATTGAATAACTCATCATTCTTCACAGAATGATAGTAATTCTCAAAGTCCCTTAGAAGAAAAGAGTCAGAAAGATGACCAAACTCTGTAGGATAAAATCGAGTAAGACAAACCAGCTTCTCCCTGTCAAAAGCAGCAAACTCGTTCTCCGGGCTAAGAGAAGCCATACAAGTCAACAACCTAGTATTCACCTCATCAAAACGGTTGTTCAACTCTTGCAGCTGCATATCAAGAACAGAGTAATACAATTCAACCTGATAGTGATGCAAGTTTGTGATCTGTGGAGCCTTGCGCCTTGACCGTCCTGGAAGAACATACTCATCATCCATGCCAAGAACGTGAACAGATTCCTTAGTGCAAAACAAGATAACATCCTCAAGTAGAGACTCCCATCCTCGATCTCTCATCTCTTGTAATCTAGCTTTTCCCACACGAACAAGTTTCATAGCATTTACAATGTCTTGATCTCTCCTTTGCAATGCTAGTGACAACTAATTCGTAATTGATAACACTTCAATCATCAACTTCAAAATGAAGACAAACCTGAAATCTTGAATTGTAATCAACATCCGCCATGCATGACTCGCTGTTTTTGGTTCTGTAGTTGGATCATCCTCGATTCTCTCCAACACATTAATAATACTAGAGAACAAGTGCTCAAAATTGAGAAGTGCACCATAATACAAAGCAGTCATACTCATAACAATGGGAAGAATCTGTTATGGAATGATGATCTTCACTCCAAGGATGATTTCCAAGCTTGATTGATGAAACCCAACTCCAAAACCGCTCTTTGGGAGTGTTCTTCGCACTTTCTCTCTCTAGGGCTATGTTTTTGCTCCAAAAAGTCGATTACCTCTCCTTTTGCTCGAATTTGGGTTAAAACCTAGAAAATTCCGACCACACGGGCAGGCCACACGGCCGTGTGGCTTTCCCAGCTGCCCGTGTGAGTTCCATACGCTGAGTTTCGATTACGTGGCTTCCAGCCATCCTGCACGACCACAACTACACGACCGTGTGGATTTCCAGGCTGCCCGTGTGAGTTCCCTGGAATTTCCACACGGCCACATGGGTTCCCTTACACGGCCGTGTGGGTTTTAGGCATGCCCGTGTGACTTCCTCGGCTTCTCACCAAACGTCCGATCTCCGTCCAATCGACCCCGAACTCGTTCCTAAACCTTCATTCACGTGCTAGGACCTGAAATATCACAAACAACCACAACCTAGCGTGAAATCGGCCTAAAACACGAGAATCAACATCTCAAACGTCTCAAGAATAAGGGTAAAAACATGTGCAATTAACGGTCTATCACTTACCAATGGGAATTAACAATTGAAAGTTCAATTGTTGTATATGGCAGCAAGTTCAAGCTTACCGTTAGGGGAAGTTGCAGCGGCCAGCGGCTGAAATGGAGGAGGACGAGACGAGGACCGGACAGAGGAGGGCGAGTGCGGTCGTGGCCGACGAACAAGGACGAGGCCGACGGAGAGGGCGAGGCCGGATCTTGCTAAGCGTCGCTGGATTGAAGGAGCTTGATGGAAGTAGCCAGCAGCCCAGCACGAAGGGTCTATTTTTTGCGAAGTTGATTCTGAGTCGTGTTTAGTTTTAGGGTTTTGTTGTCAAATTGTGGATAAAATTAATATGTTTATAAGTATCAGTATCTTAAAATTATAGCAAGATATGAGTTGTAGTGTGATTGAAAACATGTTAGCTAGTAGCTAGGGTGTCCCAGATTCAAATTCCATAAGCCACTATTTTTTTTCCTAGGCTCAAACTACTACCGGGGTTCGATAAATTTTCTCCGAGATTTTAGGGGTGTCCGGCGACACCCCCAATCTTCCCTGGGTCCACCCCTGATCGCGGCCATTGGCCGGGTGAGTTTCCTTTAACTATTAAATTAATTTTGAGAAATTTTGTTTATATCTTGAAACTCTCATTCAGTGGCGTAGCCAGATTTTCGATAGATTGGGGTCCTAAACCTTTGTAATAACTTTGTTTAATGTACAAAGCTCTGCAATAAACCTATGGGGTCCTAAACCATTTTTTTGTTATCTAACAAAGGGGTCCTTGACCTTAAAATCTCATTTTGATAGCCATTTTCCTACCAATTTTCCTCTCCTTTTCTTACCAAGTGGGGGTCCTGGGACCACAGTGCTCAAGCCTTCCCTCCGCCACTGCTCTCATTAATCTCAAACATACACTATGTTTGTATTAAATAATTTGTTGTCATACTTGAATTAATACTCATATAGTGTTCAAGAAATATTGTTATTCTTTGTGTATCATCCGAATATATGGTTTGAAAATTTGGCGCGTATATACCAAAACTAATTTAGTCTTTCCGGGGACACCCACGATATTGATACAATATAATTTAGTTTATAAGTGAAAACATTCAACTCTCTAAATTGAGATATATTAAATTTTGGCTGAATGTATAACATGATCATGTTATAATATATCAATTGTTTATCATCACACTCACAGTGACTCGTTTATCCAATCTTGAAACAAGTGGATATAAAGTTTTACAAAAAAAAAAAAAAATCAAACAATAATTCATTAAATCTCGTTGCATGAAACACTCAAAATAAATATCTAAACAATATATGTCATTCCATAATTTCCAAAATTTAAACTAACATGCAGCTAATATTTAAAATATTTGGACCGAATCTTACCCAACATACACAAATTATTTATGCTATATACACTACAACTTGCTAGTGCATATGAAATATAACTGTATTTTTTTCTTATTATACACTACAACTTGCGGTAGCAATGTTTTACATGGTAACTTATACCTAAAAGATATAAATATTTTATTTAAGAAAAATACATGTAAAGGAAGAAACGCAAAAGCATGTTGAAATTGGAAAAGAAAAAAAATCCAAAAATGGAGGAAGTGTCACCGAGGGCTGATCCTTTTGTTGGTTGGATTTCTTTTATTTTTTATTAATTATTTGATTGGCTAGAGGATGTGTTGACGTGGACGCTTGAGGGAAGGAGAATTTTGAATCAGCGAAGCCTTTTTTAAGAAATCCCTTATAATATTTTTTAGATTGCTTGCTTATAACCTATCCCGTTGGCCGGAATGTTCATATTTGATTATTTATCTTTTATGTTACGTTTAAATCTATCGACCCATTTCTATAAGAAAAAAGTCTATCTAGTATCTACCCATTTTATTTTATGGACAATGGTTTGATGAAGATGATACATACAGAAAAAATACATAGGTCAAACCATTTAAGAATGTAAAATATAAAAAATGTATCATTGATTCCATTTTTATAAGGATAATTAATCCCCCGTTAAAAGTTATTGGTAGTTGGAATTCCCACACGACCCATAGATAGTTTGAAACTAAATTTTAAACGTCATAATCGGAAAAAATCCAAAACTACCACTGTTAAAAAATTTACAAAAATACCACCCATTCCCAACAATTTCCAAAAATACCACCGTTTATTAAAAATCGCGCCTCTAATAGGCGGTTAATATATAAACCGTGCCACTAGGAAGCGGTTTACACAATAACCGCCTTGTGAACAGGCAGTTTTTAATTTCAAGTAAAACCGCTCCTCGAAGGAGTGGTTTATATATTAACCCTACCACAAAACGCTTCGTGAGGAAGCGTTTAAATGTCGGCTTGATAAACCACCCCACCAGGAGGCAGTTTACCATGTGCAGACATAAACCGCGCCCCCAATGGCGGTTTGTGCCTGGTCACCCGACATCAAACATGTCGGTATGCAGGTGGTGGGGCTGCATGGCAGACCTAAAACCACTCCCCCCCCCCCCCCCCGTGCGGTTTGTGCTGCAAAATTCGCCTATAAAAGGCTCTTTCAGAGTCCTCAAATTCTTCACACTCCTCCTCCTTCTTCAAATTTCAGTTGTGCACCTTTAAATTATTTAGTTTTTGCGATTAACGTTAATTCGTAAGTTTGTTTTGTATTACTTTTCATTGTCCTTTGTGATTTTATGTTAGTAACTTAATTACAGTTTTGTTGCAGATGGCATTCCAAAGGTTCACGCTTGGGTTGCGGTGGAATGGTTACACGGAAGAGACCGAAAAGGGTGTAAGTTATGTCGGTGGCAATTTTGTATAAAATGAAGGTCCGTACGAGACCGATGCTTGAAGAGCTCCATCAAATGTGCACTCAGATTACCTGCATGGATGACACTAGAAGAGTTGATCAAATGGTGTATCGATATCCAAACAGACATGACGGGTCGCTGTGGAATGAGGAATTCCTCCTTACTACTCAGGAGGACGCCAATGCCATGGTCCAATTTTTTACCACCAATAAAATTAAGCAAACGGAGATGTTCGTTTACACCGAGGTCGTCGAAGGCGGTGTAGGTCATTCTGGAGATGGCCAAACATCTGGTATCCACGGTGGGAGTGTCTTATACGAAGATCATCCCCACCAGGAGTACCAAGACTCGACTGGAGGCATAAGTATCATGATGGAACTGGAGGTCATCATCAACCCTTCCCTTCATATCAAGAAGAAGCTCAACAGGCGGATCATAACCAACAAACAGGCTACCAGTACCCACTCGAGTACAACTTCTACCAAAGCGGTGTTAGTTACCACAACTACCATTACGGAGCTGGTGAAGGTGAAGGTGCCTTTCATGATGATAATCAGATGGAAGAAGAGGTCAATCCAAGTCCAGTTAGTGACCCTGAGGTTGAAGAAGAGGAAGGCAATGTTAGTGCAGACAGCTTCGATCCTTTGGAAGGTGCTGATGATTCCGGTCCAGATTTAGACGCAGACGGTGATGAGGTACCTCGCGACTGTGTACCTATCCCGTACTAAAATCACATTCAAAATGAAGATTGGTATGTTGATGCCGACATGGACCTGCCAGAGGTGCCAGTATGGGGTCCACTCACTAGCTTTACAAAGGGCCAACAATTTGCAACGAAGAATGAGGTCTGGCACGCTATTGCCATTGAAGCAATGACTCGGAGTTTTGAATGGTAAACAACCCATTCCGACACAAAGAGGCTGATGGTTCGATGCAAAAATAAAAATGAGGGATGCAAAGCTAGGGTCCGTCCGCCGCACCTTCGGGGGGTCATGTAACTAACAGATTGTCTTCGGTATGTTTCCATGTATGGGTCATGGTAGCCCATCCGCCCCACATGAGATCCCGTCACAATATCCTGATCTTGCATAACGTTCCACAGAGCGATCAATTCTACATACTCCTCCGACCAATTAGTAGCTCCTTGTCGATCATCTTTCCCGTGGTACCCCCTCTGACTCTCCGAGACATCCAATGGTAGGCATTGCTCACGTCCGAATTGTCGTAGACATCGATCCGGCAAGTGCCACTCCACTATATGGTGACAGATTAGTGGAACTCGGGTGCACCATTGACCGGGATGCAACGGGAACTTGTGGACGTGATGCGCGACAATGCGTTCTGGATACGGATCAAACTTAAGCTACGAAGGTACAGAAAAAATGGACCATTAATAAACATAATAATATAAGTCTAAAAAAAGTAGGAAGTAATAGTGTATTATGATGGTCACCTCTGCTTCCTAGAGGTGATCAAGCCTCCTACGATACTCATCCAACTTATGCGCTCCTAGGTTGTCGCATGTTTTTTCACCAAGCCACCTATTCAATCCAAAAAGTACATCATGTTAATACATAATAGCTGGTTCGTTATAAAATACCCAATTAATAAAAAAATGTGAGAACTACGAGTAGGATAGAAAATATTTACCTACAATCATAAGCTTCATGTCGTAGGGGATGGTCGGGTCCCCATTCCTTTTCGGGGTCTACCTTCGGTGCAATCCATGGCAAATGCTCCTAAGCCCAAAATTGGACGATGAACATGGGCCCATCAATCTCCTTCACCGCTCTCGCACTAGCATTACAGAGGGAGCGGTAGAGATGAGCTAGGCAAGCAGATGCCCAGCTCAAGTTTCCCATATCATCCCAACTCCCAAGTATGATCTTCAACCATGAATTGCTGATTAAATTGTTGGATTTCTTGGGGAAGAAAACTCCTCCGATCATGCCGAGGATGTAGATACGTGCATAAATGTCTTTATCACGCTTGAACTTTCCTCCGTGAGGGGAATGCCTCCGAACTCAGGGTTGTGCTTACACCTGATCTCCGCTGTCAACCATGTGATGGATACTTGACCCTTGGACAATGGTGGATGACCATCCGCATCGTGATCTCCCTTTTCTGGCGGACACAACCCGGTGACCGTCCATATAAAATGCTGCCAACCACTCATATTGGCAACAACTTTAGGTGGTGGCGTAGAGTCCACACAAATAACATCACCATCGATGGGCAAATCGGTTAGGATGGCGATGTTCTTAACTGTGATGGTGCACTCGCCTTCACGAAAATTGAAGTAGTGTGTCTCCTTTCACCATCTCTCTACCAATGTTGTGATGAGTTGGCGGTCGATCTTGATTCCATTAAAGTGCCTAATCGAATCCAATCTTGCCTTTTTAGAAAGGGCAAGATGACGCCATTCCATTCAAGCACATTCGTCGTGCCCCTATAGCAGACTATATGGTATGCATCCTAGAGAAGAATTTAACTTTCACTATAAGTTGATGATTTATACATATATAAGATGCAATATTAATTAAATCAAGGTTGTTTTAGAGAAATATACATTGTCTAATAAACATTAATTTTAACATAACTAAAATAATTTTCGAAACTTAAGATAATTATTTTTTGTATACATACACATAAAATCAAATATATTATTTTGTTAATCGTATTGATTATTTTCAATAATTTAAAACAATACAAGTACACTCGTAAGACTCTTAGGAGAGGTATACATCTCCTTAGAAAAACAGTCTTTTTGACAGAAAAGGGGGGGGATCCGAGGATCACTTAGAACCCGATTTTCCCAGGTCATGGGGGATCATGATGATCGCTTAAGTCCCCATTTTCTTAGACATGCATTTCTTTATAAAGAGTCTAAATAAGTGTTGTATTGTATTGATTTAAACTATTGAAAATAATCAATACGATCAACAATTAAGTAAATTATTGTACAAACAACTAAATTACTTTAACAAAATACAAATTACAAGTGATGATAAATAATATGTACATTGTGGTCGTTCCAAATGTCTTTTGAACGATGATTGGCTTGATCGTATAAAATAGTCGGATCAATTGGTCCTTGATCAATATAATATCGTTGATTGTATATATCAACATCCGGCCCAACCTATGATAGCATAACAACAATATAAATCAATTAGTATATAAATTAAATAAATCATTATAACAACAACAACAATTGGGTAAAATGAGTATGTACAGCTTGATAATTATCATAGTAAATACCCTCTACTTGGATAAAATCGACCATTTTTTCAGAATCCGGACAGAGATTCGACAGTTTTTTAGTGAAAACCAAAGAAAAAGTTTTTTTAGGCAGATCGGACTTAGCCGCAACCAACAAAACAACTAATTCTAAGGTTTTTGGGTGGGGAGCGGGGTGGGTAAAGTGAGGAGTTAGAGAGGGGGGGATGAGTTTTGGTGTGGAGAAAATGGGAGGGGGGAGGAGGTTTATATAGGGATGAAACCGCGTGCTGGAGGGGCGGTTTCGTCTTTTTACCCCACCTAAAACCATGCCTCCAGCGTGCGGTTTACGTTCCCCAACAGTCAAACCGCGCTTCGGGGGAGCGGTTTGACTGAGCGATACGGAGCGCTGAGCTGGCGCGCAGTTTGGCCGTCATATCGCTCCCCCATCGCGCGGTCGCATGAACCGCCACGTGGCAACGTGGTTTGACAGCCAGGAACAGTCAAAGTGCCTATGGAACGCGCGATTTGATTGTTAACCGCGCCTTCGAGGCTCGTTTTGGTTTATAACCGCGCCTTCGAGGTGCGTTTTGTGTGGAAGGGTGGTATTTTTGGAAATTGTTGAGTATGGGGTGGTAATTCTGTAATTTTTTTTATAGTGGTAGTTTTGGATTTTTCCGTCATAATCCTACTTAAAAGGTTCAATGCTATATTTTTAGGAACAATATGCTACTAATCAAAAAGAAATAGAGAGTTGTTTATCCAAGTCAACTATATACTAACGACTCAGTTAAAAGGGGACCATAAAAAATTTACAGCAAACGAAAAAATTAAGGTTACCTCCAATATACTAATAGACTTGATCAAAATAATAATGTACAAAATTAGACACTCCTTATCTAGCAGTTCTCGTAGGTTGAATAAAGAATCGACCTATTTAAGTAAATCAATCAATGATCCTCGTTTTAAAACCATAAACCTAAAGATCCAATAGCCACCACTCTTCGTTGTACAACCAAATTTTTATCTCAAGAGACATATGTTTCAACCAAAACTTCAATTCCTTATCCTCTTTCAGCAACTCCATTTATTGAACTTCATTTTATTCGCCGTGGATTGATATCATTGTTGAAATCTTCTACTTGTCCAGGTTAAATCCCCAACAATAAAATCATAGTGGCAAGAGATACTAGAAGATTAATTTTTGAAGGGGGGCCTTGTACTGGGAAGTGAAAGGGAGCAAACTATTGCACAATGGAAGGAATTTTGTAGGAAGTTAGAAAGATATATGAACAAAGATAAAAAAGCGCAAAATTTAAATTGAAAAATGCGAGGACACAACATGTAGTAACATAATTAGTTTCTTCCATGTTAGCCAATTACCAATTTACCTTTAGAAAATTAAGGAGAGATAAGAAATTTTAAAATTGATAAAATTACATGAAACTCTACTATGAAAATTGAAGTATCAAGCACAATAAAAAATACATACTTAGACTCAGCGAGCTTGCCAATCATGATGAAAAAGTCCTCTTATTTTGAGAGTTTAACTTTGTGTATGTTTTGTATTAAAAAGGATACAACAAATTTGTTTAGTGTAATTGGTTGTGATTGTTCTTTTTGTTTAAAGAGACTTGGGTTCAAATCCTGTTATTGATATTTTTATATAAGATAAATAATTAATTGTAAAGACAAAAGTTATCCTTCCTATTTTCACTCTCATTGCAGAAAATGTATTATTATTAGGTTAATATCATCAAGAATACTAACCTGACATTGCCACTAATATCACGAAAGTTCAATAATTCAAGTAATATTCTAATTTGTTAGGAGTCAGTGTCATTTGTGTTACACGAATTTTGGTTGACTGTTAAAGTTAACAGTTGACCTAACAGTGGTCAACCTTCAATAATTAGACCATCGATGAAGTGGTGCTGATATGTCGCCACATATGTGCCATGTACATGTCGCGTAGGAATTTTCTTTTAATAAATATTTTTTTTTTACTTTTTGCTCCAATTGAAGAAAGAAAACCCCCTAAGTTCCCGATTACTGTGCATGTAGAGACCTTTTACTGGTCATCGTGACTCATTGGTACTGTTATAACTCGGATTGGGCTTCGGTGTGGGAGGTTGCAGGTGGGCGTTACTTTGTTCTGGGCGGGATTTTCCTGGTTTGGTTGCGTTTGAACCATTGTCCGCCTTCTGGTTACAACCCTTTTCGTGTCCCTCAACGCATAGATCGCACGGCAGAATTTTTCTTCGCCGGGTATGGGGACAGGAAACTATATGTGTCATGCTTTCTTAGGGGAGTGGGTTAACTTTCTCATAATTTGAGGTAACCAGAGACTCCTGATTTGATGGAGTTTTTTGCGGTTGTTTGAGGGTTCCAAGTTAGTGCGGTTGCCTTGGTTGTAAGCGAGCCACGCGTTGCTTTGGTTGTCATTCCCAAGGTTGTCAACCCGCGGGTCGAACCGCGGGTTGACCCACTTTGACCCTGTCCCGGTGAGAAAAACGAGCCTCATGCACCCGCCGGGTCGACCGCCACAAGGTACCGGGTTGACCCTGACCCGGTGCACTAGTCCTAATTACAAATATCCTTTCTACCCTAAAACCCGACCTAGCTTGACTATCTCAACTTTCGAGATCTCAAGCTATTCACACCACGAAATATGATGCACTATTTTGCTATTACAAGGGAGAAGAGAACTTTGCAAAAGGTACTCTAGTCTATGCATGACTCTCCTATTTATAGTGAATGCAGGGCTTCATTCCCTTTCATTAGTAGTCCTTTTGTGGCAAGTATCTCCTTGATTTGATACACTCTTCACTCGATATGGTAACTTCTTGAAGGGCAAGCAATTGTTTGAATTATTTCCTTTAACACCCTACCCTATACGTTTTACCTAATCATATTATTCATACATTTGCATCATAAATAATCTCGGGTGTTACATTAATTATCACAATTTACCCAAATAAATTTCGACATGAATTACTCGTGTAATGGGCAAACAGTTCTTGCAACTTATCCTGCCAAATAATTCATCTGAATCCCTGCATTCTTAGATATACATATATACTCATAACCATATACATTGACTTTCATAGCCATAGTCACAGTTTCATACTCCACAACAGCATACTTTACTAATACATGTCATAGTCGTCACAACTTACACAACCATACAAATATATACATATCAACTTTCCACACCTGTGGATATCTCACACTACATCAGAAGATAGCATGCACATGAAAAACGTTCTCAAAACATTTTTACAAAAAGGTGTGGATCACTGGCCATAATCTCAGGTAGTCGTCCAAGCACAGAATAGTTGAAGACAATACCTCATTCTGCCTTCAACTCCTCGCTCTGCTCACACTTATGTACTTGCTACTGCTACTGATGATTTGCTTACACATAGCATAAGCAGAGGAAAAGAATAAAAGAGGGTCAGCTCATAGCTGAGTGAGATAATCATAGCATCGTGAGTTCATAACAAAGCATACCACTACCAAACATCTAGCAAACAAGCCAAAGCACTAGGATCAGACCTCAGCCATCCGACATCCCAATAGGCAAAAGACTCAACCACCTTGACTTATGCATATGCATCTTATCATGTTTTAATCATAGGCCTCTGGCTACTCCCATGCTAATTACTCTCTCGGGAATACGGACCAAACATCTCGTGGATGGGGTCATATCGGACCCACCACTACCGGTGTAGTCATATCGGACCTAACACCACTCTGGGTGTGGTCATATCGGACTCAACACCACTCTGGGTGTGGTCATATCTCATGATGAATCAACGGTCAACACCACATCAGGGGTGTGACATAACATATCATAACGGAGTAATAGCATGGGGAGTCTTAATTACTATGTAATTGACCATGAGATCAAAGTACTCTTACTTGATATCCTTATACATGATCCATATCTCATCTTGCTTAATCATAATTCATTACTTGGACATGTTCTTGACCTGACCACAATTGGTGCAACATAACTAGGAGTCGTATAATTGCACTTCCTCAGGATAAACCCTCGTGCAAGTCATCCTCCTTAAACATCATAATATCACCAAGGAATATATATTTTCCCACATGTGTATCCAAATAAAACAATCATGAAAAATTATACCCAATCACCTTCTTGAACCATCATAAAACGTATTAACAGTCAAGCCCACAATGTGCAACATATACACAATCATCAGCATAAACAAGGTCCATATCGATTAGGGCAAGTCAATAATATCATACAACAATCCATGGTTCATCATATAGCAGAAAAGTCCATACATCCCTAATCATGCCATTCTAGTTCACCTAGGTCAATTCTAAGCATCAATATATAACTATCGTGATACGACAAACCCGGTATGTCGTGCTAATCCCTCACCAGTTCTAGTCGTTCAAACACCGGTTTTAGCCTCCCGAACTAAACTTCACTTTTCTCAAACAAACTCGAAATCAAAATCCAAGATTGTCCTAATATCCCCTGCAGTATCCACGTCAATGTTAGTACTAAGCTCCGGATCAAATTCTCGATAAAAACACATCAACCCCTGGCCGGAGCTAAATTCAGCGATTCCGACTCCGACCTAAATAATATCCGAAACTCATGGATTAGAACCAGAGGATTAATTACCTTGCTGCAGGAAGCTCGTCTATGAAATTTGGGCTTAATCCGGCTTTCGGAACCTCCGAAACCCTAATTCCCTCGGTCGGAAACTCAAGAAATTTTTTATCCAAAAACTCGTTTTAAAGCTCTAAATCGATAAATTACGATGTATTGAGGGATTAGGTATTACTTACGGGATTTTTGGATTGTTAGAGCTCAAGAATTAAGCTTTGCTATTTCTCACCGAGCTGTCCTGTGCGCGCTCTGCTTCTCTCGGTCCGTGAATGGAAAAAGAAAGAACAGAATGAAATGGAAATGGATCGGGGAAGGGTTTTGTACGTATATAAATGGGTGAGAAAAGATTCCGGCCGCTTTTAGCTTTTTCCGTGTAATTAACATATAACACCTTCCTAGACGGAACTCGGGAAAAACCTAGGTTTGGATGGTGGGTAGTACCCATTGAAAGGATCTAGGTTCTTAAAGCCCCAAATACATGACCCAATACCGAGGTGACAATAGGGTAGGTAGGGCGTACTCGGAGGCGTGTGGATAATCACGAAGGCCCAAGGAAAAGAGCTCACTCACCACATTCACTTAACCCAACATGTTTAGACATTTGCATGATAGACCTAGGCTAGGGCGAGGGTTAGTTCCCTGATGTACTTGCTTTTATCCTTGTTTAGTCTCTATACTAGTTATTTCACTTGAATCCTCTAACACAACACCTTAAACCGATCGACTAGATAACAACAATATGGGAAGTAGGCTAGGGTACCGGGAACTGAGTGAATATGACCTTGATTGCCACTATAAGAAAATGCCATTATAGGTTAAACTTGGGCTAGAATGGAGTAGTTATTGATGCGTGCAAACTAATGACAATGACTTGCACAGAATGAATCAATCAGGTTGATATTGAAATATTTACTCTATTCCTACACCCTCTATAGGGTGCACTTGGCCTATAGTTGAGATAAAGTGTAGTGATAGCTAAAGTAGTCATGATGACCCTACCAAGAACATTCCAGCCACTTCTATAACCATGCTTTTGACCTTTTTGATTTCGAATACCTTTACAATAAAATAAATTCACTGAACAACTAAATGTCGCTTTAGTTTTTTAATCTCTCTAACTTAAAATCTAAAATTACTAAATTATTCTTAATTAATAAAAAAATTAAAAAAATACCATCCCTAAAATCTCTAATCATCTTCCATTGCAAACATCATCCTTAGCGACCTTCTGCACATTCTTCATTCATCGGTGACACCATCCACCCAACCGCGACCGACCTCCTGCATGCTTTTAATAAATGTTTTCGTTGTTGGACCTAGTTTGTTTAGTTAGAATAAAATATTTCCTAATAATAAAAATAATGAACAAAATAAAAATATCTTAACATTTAATTGAGGGGTTACAATAAAAGCTAAGCTGGTGTGACAATTAGGCATCCTCCAATAATATATAGTAGAGTTATGTCTACTTTTCTCTATTTCAAATTTCTTACAATGAGAGTAAAAGTAGGAAGGATATTTTTGTCTTTTCAATTAATTATTTATTCAAACAATCGCAACCAATTACACTAAACAAATTTTTCGTATCTTTTTTAATACAAAACATACACGAAGTGACATTCTCAAATCAGAGGGCTTTTCATCATGATTAGCAAGCCCACTAAGTCTACCGTATGTATTTTTATGGTTCTTGATACTGCAATTTTCGTAGAATAGTTTAATGTAGTTCTCAATTCTAAAATCACTATTTTCTCCTTAATTTTTGCTAAAGGTAAATTGGTAATTAGCCAACATGGAAGAAACTAATTCTATTACTACGTGTTGTGTCCTTGCATTTTTCAATTTATATTTACATTTGTACTTTTTTATTTTGTTCTTATCTCTTTCTAACTTCCTCTGAAATTTCCTCTATCATGCAATAGTTTGTGCCCCTTTCACTTTATCATACAAGGTCGCATTTGAAAATCAATCTACCGGTCTCTTGGCACTATGATTTTATTCTTGGGGATTTAAATTGGGCAAGTAAAAGATTTCAACTCCAATATCAATTCATGGCGAATAGAATGGAGTTCAATAAATGGAGGTGTAGAAGGAGGATTAAAAATTGAATTTTTGGTTGAAACATACGCCTCTTGAGATTGAAGATAGAGTGGAAATAAATTTTATTGTACAATAGAGAGTAGTGGCTATTGGATCTTTAGGTTTATGGTTTTTGAATCTATCGTACCTAATTCTATCTTAAAACGAGGAATCATCGATTGATTTATTGAAGTAGGTCGGTCGATTCTTTATTCAACCTACTGGAACTTATAGAGAAGGGGTGTCTAATTTTGTTCCTTATTACTTTGATCGAGTCTATATTAGTATATTGGAGGTAACCCTAATTTTGGTGTTTGCTCTCAAGTTGTAATGATCCCCTCTTAGCTGAGTTGCTAGCATATAGTTGACTTGAATCAACAACTCTCTATTTATTTTTTATTAGTGACATATTGTTCATAAAAGGAGAGCATTGAACCTTTATGTAGGATTGCGAGGTTTAAGATTTAGTTTCAAACTATCTATAATTCGTGAGGAATAAAAAGTGAGCTTTTATACTCTATCTTTCTTGGCAATCAACTAACCAATAGCATTTTACCGCAGACTTAATTATCATTATGAAAATGAGATCAATGATACATTTTTAGATTTCTCCAAATATTCGATCTATATATTCTTTCTTTATGTATCATGATATCATCTCGATTGAAGAATTGTCAATAAAATTAAACGGCTTAATACACTTAAACATACATGAAAATATAAATAATCAAATATTAATATTCCGGTCGGGACAGGGTTATAACTTATAAGCTACTTCTCGCAATGATAAAATTACCCCGGCTAGGCCGCGAACAAAGCTGGTAATAAAATAAAACATATAGGAAGATGATCCCTGCTGCTGGCTGCTGACAGCTATAATAATATGCTATTTATGCTGCCCGTCCCGTCTCCGATCAAATAGTTCCCATTTTGTTCTCCTAAAACGCGAACCCTAACCCCCCAATTCTTCCATCCGAAGTGAAACAAAACCGTTCCTTTGATTCGTCAGTTGACATGGCTACGGGCGATCTTCTCAGCATCCATCCTTCAGAACTCAAATTCCCATGTGAGTTTCCCCACCTTTATTTGCCTTGTTTCCCCAGTCGTCGAGTTGTTTCCAGGGAAAGTTGATCGTAAGGGCACCGGAATTTGGTGGAATTTCGAAACCTCGTTTAGGTTGATTGGGGGAATGATAAGATCCGGTTAGAATTTAAGAGCCAGTGGTAGTATTTGGTTGCTAATCGTTGTTGTATCAGTAGTTCTTAGTTTTGGTTGGTGCCTACTAGATTTGAGTTTTTGGGTATGCGGAATTGCGGATGAAACTTGAAACGAATACCGGAGTGTGATGGGGTTATGAACTGACCTGACTGCAGTGTAATTCATGTTCTAATTCTATCAACCCTTTGGGGCTCGTTTCATCCATTTTTTTGCATTTTATTGGGGGCGTTTGTGAATTTGTCCAATTGTTGGTTCTCTTAATTCACTTGTCTAACTTTGTCTTTCATCAAGTCGAATTGAGGAAGCAGAGTTCTTGTTCTATGCAACTGACCAACAAGTCCGATAATTATGTGGCTTTTAAGGTGCGTTCTTTTCTTCCATGCCTCTCCTTCCTTATCTAGCATTTTTATGTTATCTTGGCTATTGGCTACTTTCTTCCGATTCCTATTTTGCTTCTGACTGCTTTGATGTAATCTAATAGGTTAAGACAACAAATCCGAAAAAGTACTGTGTCCGGCCCAACAGTGGCATTGTTTTGCCTGGCAGCACTTGCAATGTTACTGGTAAGTGATGGTTTCTTTGTATGTTAAAGTCTCTGAATCTAATTTGATTAGTTGGTTGTTAGTGAGTTGTCTGCTCCCCGATGGTAATTCCTGAAGTTGTTATTGAACATGTTCTTGAAATCTTCCGAATTGCACTGCCAAACCTACTTGTTGTATGAGCGTTAATGTCTATTCTGTATTCGGTTTTGGGTGTTGAAGTTAAGCCTTTCTTCATATTGTAGTATTCCATGAGTCCTTTTGTGTTGGGTTGATTTGAAAAGTTCTTACAATTTAACATATCATGTGATGTGTTCTGGTAGTTACAATGCAAGCACAAAAGGAAGCACCTCCAGATATGCAGTGCAAGGACAAGTTTTTGCTTCAAAGTGTTGCTGCTCCCGATGGTGTGACAACAAAAGACATTACACCAGAATTGGTTGGATGATTTTCTTCTGCCTAACCTCAATTTCAGAACTAATTGGATTTTCCTTGGATCTAAGATAGGCATATATTGGTTTGCAGTTTGATAAAGCGGATGGCAAGGTGGTAGAGGAGGTCAAGTTGCGTGTTGTTTATATCCCGGCTAATCCTCCTTCACCAGTGCCTGAAGAATCTGAAGAAGGGTCTCCATCCAGGTCTTCAAATGTTGAGAATGGCAATCAGGATGCAGCGTTGCTCAATGCTGTAAGTAATTTTTTGTTTATTTAGGAACTTCTTATACTTCTTCTCCTGTAATCTCCAGAAGACCTCTTTGTTGGTTTGCATATCGTTTCAGTTTCCATATAACTCCCGCATTAATTTCAGGTGTCAAGATCCTTAGAGGAGCCCAAGGAAAAATCAGCTGAGGTAAGCTGTATGGGGTTCTTCCCTTGCCTGTTTTTGAGAGTCATGATAAGCATAAACTCCATGACATATAAGATGTCTAGCCTGCCAATGTTACAAAAATTTCTACACAGCAAAACTCATTTTGTGCAGGTTTGTTCAGGGTTTTGTGGATAACTGAACTTGAAATATGTCAACCATAATAGCTAGACAAACAGTTGCATGTCCTCTGGTCATAATGTTTGAGAATCATACTTTACTTTTCCTATATTTGTACCAACATGGAACTTAGATTTTCATGGCTGCGTTCTCTACGAAGGTTCTATTTAAATCATGAAAGATGTAAACTCCGTGCTGCTTTTTCCTTGCAATACTTTTGTATGGGTTGCCTAAGGGATATTTGTGCTTCAGGCATGGTCCATGATCTCAAAACTGACTGAAGAGAAAAATACAGCCCTACAACAAAATCAGAAGCTACGACAAGAGCTGGTATGTTCCAAGTCTGTATGTTAGTAGAATTCAGTCTGACTTTTATCTGTTGTGATCTACTATTACTGATTTACTATATAGTACTTATGTGTTCGTTTTCTAGTTTCTACTGCTGGTTGGTGGAATTTCTATTGTTGTCCTATAACTGTATGCCCTGATTTGCTTTCATTTTCTGAAGCAGGAGCTAATTAGAAAACGAAATGGCAGCAGTAATGCGGGTGGCTTCCCTTTATTGGTGGTTCTGCTGGTTGGTCTGATAGGTATCCTAATTGGCTATGTGTTCAAGAGAACATAGCACCTTGACCAAATGCTATGTTGATGATTTTTATTTTGGGTTTGTTAGAGAAGTTGTGATGCTTTTGTTAGTTGGCGATTGTTGGTGAACTTTGCAAGGGTGTGGCCAACTTTTGTAAGAGCGAGTAAGATTCTGCTTGTACTATTGGTGCTGTCCAATTATGATTCTTTCCACACATTTTAAGTGGGTCTGTGACACTGATTGATTTAGAATGGGGAAAAGACCCAGTCACTGTAGGAACGTATACTATTGTTGGGTTATTTGTAGGCCAGTTAGTATGTGTTATTCTTCTTCATTAGTGAGGTTGATTCTCTTGGTTCGTGCTTGCTTAGTTGCTTGGTCTCTCTATTTTCTTCCCCCTTCACTGTCTATTCTTAACTTCCATCTTTAATACTAGCATGAGTAATATGGCATATAATAATAAACTAGTGTGGCCCCCGGCCATTTGGCCATAGGAAGGTGAGGTATGTAATTTGATTATATAATGGAGTGTATAGCTTATTGTTGTATAGTTTTTTTGGAAAACACGTAATAAAAATAGTGAATTTTAGTATGAAAGAGACATGAATGATGCAGCAAATCAAAAATCAGTCTTATGAACCAAAATCAAGTACCTGTTACCTTGTGAAACAATATTGTTTCTGGTAATATGATGAAGTGGAGTAAGTTATAAAGAAATCGAATTCCAGAAAATCGAATAAAAAATCGCCTATTTCGCCGGTTTTCGGGAAATGAGAATCTCACAATCGTTGCTAGCTTTATTCGGCCCGTTGGCCGATTAATTTGCTTTATAAAACTTTCATCTTGTCATCATTGTGCTTTTTGGTTTTTTGCCAAGCCATGATAAAATCGAAAGAAATCAAGAATGAATAACACGATTTGGGATATGAACCACCGTTCCTGTATCCCTAGAAAATGGTGGTAAACACGGACTCACCTGTCAAACTGGTTTGGATTGAGATTTTTATCGGATATCAGGGAACCATGTGATTATAAATTAGACTTGATCAAAACGGGCAAAAACTTGAAATTCAGTCTGTTTGACCGACTCATGCCAAACTCTAATTATTCTTTACTTTTAAACTTTCTATTTGAAAATAAAAAATAATGAAAGAAAAGAGATGACTGCAATTCGCCATTTGCACATCACTGGTTCGGGAATAAAACTATAGAATTTCGAAAGGAAACTGAAATGTTTATGATCGTTTTAATGTTAAAAATAACCAAATAGATCTTTATGTTTAGTTTTTTACTAACAAACACCATACGATTCCCTATAATATACACTATAATTTAATCATTATGATATCAAATAATTACATAATATATATTTGAAATGATAAAAATTGGACTAATTGAGTTGGTCGAGGTTGAACCATTGAATAACTTTAAAATACATTATATTTTAGCCACACAAACCCATGATGTTCATTTGTTTTACTTGATGGCAAATCCCGTGTAGGTCAGGCCCATTCAACTCTTTTATTTTATGATTAGCGGTTAGCCCATTAGAATCCATGCACTTAGTGTGATTTGTTATGATCTTTGCTTTTCTTTAAAGTGGTCATGGTTCGAATCCTAGTAAGTGTCTTTTTAATGAATAAAAAAAAGTAATTGTGAAGACCAAAATGTCCTTCATACTTTCACTCTGGATGCAGGAAATTTGAAATGAGGCTTCAAATTTTCTCATTTGGCTTTTATTTATTGTGTAGATATAATAAATGATTTGAAATGCATGAAATGATTGTTTTCTACCTTATTTATGCACATAACATTTTTGAAAGTGATACAAATATACTTAATGTGTTTAGATCTCCATGAAAAGAGAAAAAATATATAATATAAGCATTACATATAATTATTGAATGAAAAAAGAAATAAATATAATTAATTGTCATTCATTACTTAATTAAATCATATAGTTGAATATTAGAGTTGCTTCTCATAATACATACATAATCAACTTTTAGGATAAAAGAAAATGTCTCATAGAGTTTAGTATGTCCTTTAAGTTTTTCCCAATAGAAGAATTCCTTCTTTTTTTTTTTGGTAAAAAGCATACGTCAATGGCGTCTAAATCACATTAGAAATAACCCGATCCGTGGTAGTCTCCATGGTATCGTAGGAAAGCCAATACAAGAGGTTCGGGTTGCACTCATCGAATAGATGTGTGCCAAAATAAACAAGGTGACCCCTACTCGCCAAATAATCGGCTGCACAATTGCTTTCTCTATAGACATGTGAGATCCTAACTTCCCACTCTCTATCCAAAATCCTATCAATATGCTTGACCAACAAGCCATAAATATGGTTAGTGTCCTTCCTATTCTTAATGAGAGCAACTGTTGTGGAAGAGCCAAGGTTCAACTCAATCTTCCTATATCCCTTTTGCCAAGCCAAGTCGAGTCCATCAGCAACTCTCTTTAGCTCAGCCCGCGTAATTGAGCAAACTCCCAAGTTAGTAGTGAAGGCACCTTTGCATCTACCGAGATGATCACGCAGGAGGCCACCAGCAGCAGCTTTCCCAGTGGAAGTATCCACCGAGCCATCAGTCTGAACTTGAATCAATCCCTCGCGTGGTGGTGTCCATCCGATATGCTGGGTGCTGCTATCTCTCTGAACAGCTGAAATGCTACGTTGGGCATTCTCGTTCGCCTGGCTGTTGATGTGGAACCAGGATCGGATTCTGTGTATCGTTCCAAGCTCAGAGAAGGGTTTCCCTTCCATAACTCCCTCGTTTATTTCTTTCCACAAAATCCAACAGATGAGTCTGAACTCAATTCATGTCTTCTCAACCTGCAGGTTCTTGGATAGCCAACTCTGGAAATCAACGTCACGTTATTCTCTTTCGGCTTATCACTAAACTGTATCCAAACTCCTTATGTCTTTGAGCAGCTTCGGAGGATATGCTCAACGGCCTCCTCCTTTCCAGTGCAAAAATCACAGTTTCCATTACTTGTGAGCTTACGTCTCTCTCGTTCCTTGTTTGTGAGGAGTCTGTTGTGAGTTGCCAGCCACAGGAAGAACTTGACACGGCTGGGCCCCTTCCATTGCCACAGATCCTTCCAAGTCTTCTCAGGTTCAATTGAGTTGATTCCCGCAGCAAGATCGTAGGCTGACTTCAAGCGGAATCGTCCATCCTTCTCCTCACCCCAGATGGTTCTGTCCTCTCTTAGTCCTGGTTTTGGGTTGTCCTTTCCTGCAATATGCATAAGGATCTCATTAGGCAGATAATCCTTAAGACGTTACCAATCCCACTCACCTGCTTCATTTGTCCATTCCGCCACGAATGTAAGTCTTTCTTCTTCGGTCAAGGTCTGTAATGAGAACTCTTCAAGAATCACTCCTTTCTCAAGCCATGGATGTGTCCAGAATCTTGTAGATTCACCATCACGAACACTCCAGACCATTCCGTGCCTCATCAAACCCATTGCTTTCACGATAGCTTTCCAAAGGTTGGAGTGGTTGCTCTTTTTCATGGCTGCAATCTTTCCCTCTTTGTGGTGAAAGTACTTCCCTTGAAACACCTGCACCCATAAGTCATTCTCGTTATTCAGAATTTGCCAAGCTAGCTTAATCATGTAGGCCATGTTTAAGCTTCTAGCGTACCTAATGTCGAGTCCTCCTTGGTTTTTAGGTTTACAGATGGAATCCCAATTGACAAGGTGGATTTTTCTTTTTCCCGAGACACTCTCCCACACAAACCCTCTAATCCTACAGTCAATGGCATCACAGACAGAGGCTGGGAGAACCAAGGTCTGCATAGCATATGAAGGTATGGAGCTAAGGACAGACACAACAAGGGTCGCTCTCCCTGCAAGTGTAAGTGTTCTTGCCTTCCAATGGGAAAGTTTTTGGTCAATTTTATCTAGAATATACCGATAAGTGTTTCGAGTTAATCTACCATGTAGGACAAGGACACCTAAATACCTACCAAGATCATGGGTAACATGGATGCCAAGTCTACTGCAGATGTTACAACGATCCACATCCCTAATATTCTTAGAAAAAAAGACTCTGGATTTCTCCTTGCTAAGCAACTCTCCTGAGGCAGAACAAAAATCATTCATGCAGCTAAGGATCACATCAGCATGTGAGGTGCTGGCTTCAGAGAGGAGAACCAGGTCATCGATAAAGAAGAGATGGGATAACTGAGGACCACCCCTACACAGTCTAATAGGTTTCCATTCCTTATCATTCACTTTCCTATTAATGCTATGACTCAATCTTTCAATACAAAGCGTAAAAAGATAGGGAGAGAGGGTGCATCCCTATCTTAATCCTCTGCTAGGCTTGAAGGTTTCAGTTTCTCCACCGTTCCATAACACCTGCAGTTTTGTTGAAACAACGCACTGCATAATGGCTTGAACACCAGCGTCAGGAAACCAGCAAGTCTCAGGGTCTCATCCAGGAACTTCCAATCTATTCTATCCTATGCTTTTGCCAAGTCCACTTTTAGGAGCATCCAGCCTTTCTTTCTTATCTTCTTAGCCATGGAATGAACGGGTTCCTGCAAAATCAGAATGTTATCAGAGATGTGTCTATTAGGAACAAAACTAGATTGATTAGCATGGATAAGATGGGGCATGAGATTCTTGAGCCTATTAGCTAAAATCTTTGCCACCACTTTATACCCATTACATAAGCTAATTGGACGGAAATGATTCATAGAAGAAGGGGCTTCGATCTTGGGGATGAGGGTCAGCAGGGTGTCATTGATAGCTTCGATGTTATTAGGGTTTCTGAAACAGTTAGCAATAAACTGGGAGAAATCATCCTTGATCACACTCTAGCATTTCTGAAAAAATATGGCATGGAAGCCATCTTTTCCAGGAGCCTTCAAGCCATTCATTCCCATCACTGTTGCTTTAATTTCCTCCGGGTTGGGAACTTTGCTAATGTTCTTAGCAGTAAGAGAGTCGATGGGAGGGAAATCAGCAACAATCTCTGGCAGTTCCCCTCTTTCTTCTCTAGTGTACAGCTTGATAAAGTGGTTCCTG